GACCTTGGGCCTGGCGGAGGAGAGGCATGGCATGGGCGCCCCGCAGGAGAGCAGGGTTCAGAGTCCTCCCTTCCTCCCCCCTGGACGGAGGTCGCCCCCGGGAGTCTCACCGGACGCGCAAAGGCGAGGAAATCCGATCCCGACGAGCGCGACGTGAGCCCGTATCCCCCCGAGCGGAGAGACTATACCACTGTGATCCATGTCCCCGAGAGACCAAGGGAGGAGTACCCCGTCGAGGACAGAAAGCACAAGAAATCCCAGTCGCAGGGGCAATCCCATACCCCGACCAGCTCCCGTCCCCTTGAATATACGCCAGTGGCCGGCCCCAGCCGGCGTCCAGAACCGCAAGAAATCCGCGGCCACGGTCCGCCGCAGCGGCGACCTCAGCCGGCTCATCCGCCGCGACAGCTCAAGGAGGAGGATGCGCACGAGTGGTTGCTGGAGCACTTTGCCGATCCTTCTCCCGACGTCCAATCGAAGCGGATACCCGAGCCGCCAATGTCCCCTTCTCCTTTGCCCCCGGCATCGATGACCCACGTGTTGGCTCCAGCTCACACAAAGAGAGCCCCTTCCCCTTTGGTGCCCGCCACCATGCCCGAGGCTGCCGTCGCCCTCGAGGAAGAGCTCGCGTCCGTGAATGTCCCCCCTGCGAGCAAGACCGAGCCACAGGACGACGGGATGGATGTCGACATGGCGGTTTCGGAGCTAGTCAAGGAGACGCTGGAAAGTGGCCAGGGCGTGATGGAGGTCGATGTCGAGGACGAGTTGCTGAGCCTGGTCGATGATCGTCCGCGGTCGCGTTCCATCACCCGTCCACCTAGCGTGAGCCGCGTGTCTTCGGGTGGCAAACCTGCTCTTCGACTGCAAGAGGCTGGATCGCGTCATGGCTCCCCAATGGCTTCAGCTGCGTCCCCATCCTCGTTCGTCTCCCCCGGCGGCGCGAGAGCATCCTCCATGCTGCCGCCATCCGAACGCGGGTCGATGCCCCCGCCCGCATCCACTGCTACAGGCCAAGGCAAAAGCAAAGAGTCGAGTGCGGCGCCACGGAAGAAGAAGGAGGCGGCAAAGGTACGTCTGAGGCAATTGTGCACCATAAACCCTAAACTCATTGTTCGCAGCCTGCCCCGAAACCGAAAGCGGCTGCTGCAGCCAAACCGCGCGCCAGGCCGGCCCCAAAACCCAAACCCAAACCTTCCGATGGAGCCCCCGGCGCCGCGAAGGTTAAAGCGGCGTCGGCCATATCCCGGAAAAAGCGGCTCGGTGGCAGCCTCGGCGTCCCGCTCTCGGTCCACCTCCGCCATGCCCGGCGGATCTGTCGGTCCAGAAAGCTCGGAGAAACACGAGGACGAGGAAGAGGACGCGCTCGTGGCTGCCGCCGAGGATGACAAGCTGTATTGCGTCTGCAAGACAAAGTACGACGAGGACCGGTTCATGATTGCTTGCGACAAGTGCGTGGTTTGCCTTTCTTTAGCTTACACACGTTGACCGCCGCCGCGCAGGTGCGACGAGTGGTATCACACCCAATGCGTCGACATGCCAGATCTAGTCGTTGATCTGGTCGATCAGTTTTTTTGCCCACTTTGCATCGAGAGTACGTCTTCTCAGCAACAAAATCGCGTCGAATTTTTTCTCACCGGCGCACACAGAAAACCCCAATCTTTCGCTCAAGACTACGTACAAACCGCGCTGCCGCTACGGGTTGGACCATCCCGAGCCCGACTCGCCCAAAGCCTGCCATAAACCCGCTCAAGGTGCCTTTTCAAAGTATTGCTCCCCAGAGTGCGGGTTGAACAACGTCAAGAAGCGTATCGAGAACTTTACGAAGAAGGGGGGCAAGCCGGAGCTGCTCTGGGACAGCGTGAAGGATGCGCAGAAGCGGGAGGCGGTTGTGATTGTCCACGAGGAGGTTGCGAAGGAGAACGGGGACGCTGCCCCCGCGCCCGTCGTGGTCGCGCGCGTGAAGCCGCCGAACATGGGCAAGGTCGAGCGCGAGGTCGCGAACTTGAACACGGTGCTGGACGAGGTCGTGACGCTGCGGGAGGACCTGAAGGAGGGGATGGAGATTGTGTTTTGGCGGGAGCGGCTGCTGGAGCTGGCGAGTGAGCGCGCTGAGCAGGTGGGCCAGTGCGGCTGGGACCAGCGGCTGTGTTTTGGCGAGGAAGAGTGGGCAGATTTTGGGGCGGGCGTTCTGGACAGCTATGAGGAGGGCACGAAGGAGGGTGGCATGCAGGTCGATGCGGAGGAGTGGTGGTGCGTTGAGAACCAGAAATGTGATCGTCACGCTGGGTACGTTGTTCTGTTCTACTCGTCGTGGGAGCTGTGCTAATGATGCTGCAGCTGGCAGACTATTCGAGCCAGGGACGTCGCAAAGGAGAAGGAGAAGAAGGAGGAAGCTCTGTTCAGGCTCACCACGCGGGAACGCGAACTGCGAAAGCGCATCGACGACCTTGTTGAACCATTCAATCGCTCTTGTATCGATCCATCGACCGCTGCACCCCTCAAATCCTCCAAGCTCGTCAACGGCAACCCCAAAGGGAAAACGAACGGAGACAGCAAGAAGGGCAAGAAGAGAAAGAACCCATCCTGATCCCGTTGTATTTTTATTATTCTGTTTTGCATTCGTCTTGCACTCTATCCAACCCAACTCACTTTCCAATGTGTATTTGCATCTTGTTCTGTAGCATTGATCTTTACTTCACGACGAATAATACTCGATCCATCTAAACTGCGGGCGCCCTGGCGTTCTCAGTGTTACAAACATACAAATCGCATCTGACCGCGATACCGCGAGGCGTAATGAATCTGCCTATAGTCGCTTCTCGACCAGCTCTCCTCGGCCAGGGCACCTAGGATATTAGTATCCCTCGCGTTACCCGCCGTCAATACCCGTCCCCTTCGCCCCCCTCCTTGCAGAATCCTTTCTGCTCGTACAGGATTTGTGCCTTTGCCTCTTCTCGTTGCTTTTTCACCTCGACGTCGTTCTTGTGATACGGCTCGAGCGCGGCGTACTCCACCTGCCGGCGCTGGGGTATCTCGTCCTCGAGATCGAGGTCCTGGACGAAGGTCAGTCAAATACCACGCGAAAAGCGCTGCGAAACGTGCAATTTCGCCCAGCAGCACGACGTTTTCCCCTCGAATCAGAAACAGCCCGTGCCAGTTCTCCTGCAAACGCGTTGCCGTGGTAGATGCGCTCGACGGTGTCCTCGAGCACGAGGTTGGCTGCAGCGTATGAGACGGGGAGACAAGACGAGAGGAGCCAGCGTATACCGAACTGGTCGTAGGAGCGTAGGACGCCGTGCAGTTTTCGTCCGTCTCGCAAGACCACCAGCATCTTCCCTAGTCAAGGTCGGACACCGAGGGAGGAGTGGCGAGAATGCTCAGGAGAGAGAACGGTAGTTGACTCGGCAGACGTACTGTCCACACAATCCACCAGCGACCCCGACGTTGTGAAGGGTATTAACGAGTCCATGGCAAAGAATTGGGGAAGTCGACTTCGAAAGTCGGCACGTGCCACTGGGCGAATGGAAGCTTTCGTCGACGTCAAACTCATCCTGCTCTCAATCTGCTCTACAATAAATGGGGTGATGAATTTAAGATAGATCGCTTCCATATGGAACCATTTTTCAAAGGGGAGAGAACTACAGCCTAGGTAATTAATAGTCGCATGTTCATAGTGTTCACAACGTTTCTTGGGGACCTGCTCGAAGTTGGCTATGGGGCAGGTGTATTGGGAATCAGCCATGACTGAACTCAGTGAGCTGGCCTAACAGAGAGTTCTCAAACCGCCTGGCGATCGCGTCGCGTCATGAGTGGGAAACTTCGAGTTGATGGTGAATTAAGAACCAGCTGGAGGGCGAAGCTGCGACGCAGGATACTATGCATGGCCTACGAAAAGGTCTGATAAAGGGCTGATTTTGCGAGAGAACGTGGATCGTAACGTTGTTTACTTACTCCAATTTGATTAGAGCCAGCTTGACTAGTTCCAGGATTGAGGGAGATTCAAGATATTTGGTGCATGCGGGGAAGATGCATGCGTTATGTGATAGGCAGGGGGTCCTCGGTTATTCTGGTTTGTAGAATATTTTGAGTATTTTGGAAGTCATTGAACGGACGGATGGCAACTAGTGCCAAATGGACAGAGCAGAATTCTCCGTGTGGCGGTTTATCGAGGACCCTTGACCCAGCGGATTGAAGTTCGACTTAGTGACCATGCAAGCCACATTTAACTAACTAAACCTGTGCAAAATTATAGGATGATGACTACCTGGGCTGAAACTTTCCCTTCCAGCCTCCAGGCCCAGGATTCATTCGGGCCGACGTGGGGTAGAAGAAAAAAGTCTTCTACACGTAGAAATTTGCTCAAGTGGGTATTGTCCTGTACACAGACGTTATAACAGCTGAAGCTCGCTCGTACCTCGCATATACTTATCGTCGACCAATCGTCGACTCAGAAGGTCCACCCTGTGTGACGCGCCGCAGATTTTCAGTCACATTTGTCTGTGGTGGTGAAACGGGATGGACGTCGAACTCCAGAAGTGAGCCAACTTGCGGCGGAAAGAAGAGTTGCTGATAAGTAGGGGCCAGATACAGGAACAAATACCTAACCGCCACTGTCCCGAACGGGAAATTCTCGGTGATCAGCATCTGATGGAGTCCCAGCACGTCAGCGACTGCATTCATCACATCGCAGAACAGTCTATCATCAAGGGGAGGACTTTCGCAATATATGCAAACACCACAATCTACCTGAGAGTTCCCTGTTAATAACATATTCATCAATTCATCCGAGGGTCCCCCAGCGACCCTGGACAATGCTGATGTGGCATTTTATGGGATCTTAAACTTCTAAACATAACTTCCTCCTCTATGCTAGCTTTATAAGTCCTTCGGATGAAAAAAGCGGAGATGTTGCATGTGTAACTTCACGTGCAACATCTCCGCTCTTGTTTTAGCATTTCCTCAGCTCCCTTAGACTTCCGGAGCTCCTTAACTTATTCGAGGGCACTATGGCCGAGTGGTTAAGGCGACAGATTTGAATTTAACCCTATCTGTTCTTCTTTGAAGGCGCAGGTTCGAACCCTGCTGGTGTCGCTTTTTGGCCCTTTCCTCGTCTTCTGGCCTTTACAACCAGGTCACTTCCGTATCTCATATTGTGCCCCCGAACCTAGCGCATCGCCTCATGTCGTCGCCTTAATTTTTGGAGGCCCGGGAGGCATTTCCCGCATTTTTTTTCTCCTTGCTTACATTTGTTACCAAGTAGAAACTGTCGCCCCATATGTCGCGCTAGCGGCGCCGCAGAGGGAGCTAATGCATCCTGGACGAGTGGGGGGACAAGTCTGAGGTGTTCCGGTCGCTTTTGAGACGTAGCACGAATTTTTAATTGGGCACTGAACGATATATCATTGGAATCATGTCTCCTCAGGTTCAACGTCTTCCAAACGTCGCTTGTAAACCATGTCACTATGTATCACATAGTATTCCACGCTCAAGTATACACAAATGTAGCTATTTCGATATTGCGCAGCTGTAGAAACCGGCATCGCTGTAGGAAATTTCCGCGCATCGCAATCATACCAATTCCTGGAACTCTGAACTAACTCTGCTAAAGCTCGATGTTGCGCCTACATTCTGTCTTTCCTACACAATGGTCCAGCACAGGGTGAGTATGGCGCTGCGAAGATGAATATTATCCTCTTCAATGTGGAGTTGCATCTAAATCATTCAAGGTATTGGCCATGGTTCGCCTGCCAACTAGTCCAACGGGGGTAGCTGCGTGATTCCTCTAAGGAAAGTTGTGGAGCCGAGTCCGGTCCTGCTCCTGGTCAAAAGGAATTCGCAAGGAGGCACGCGCTTAGGACGAAGACGCGAAGATATTCGGGTGGTTTCTACTTGGTTCTAGGATATCCAGGTTGTCAACGGTACCTAACGTGGGCCGTAACGGCAAGAGCCACGAGTGGACTCGATTGTTTTGCGCATCGCGTGAAGTTCAACGCATACAAAGCCTCCCTTAATATCACGCTAGTGCGTACCTCTCTCGGGCGTTGGTTTCCGCTTGGTTCTCAGATATCTTGTACCTGAGACATAACAGCGAGAGCCACGAGCGGTACTCTACTCTTCCTCTGCCGCATCGCGTGCAGTTCAAGTCCCGCTTGAGCAATCATTCTAGTCAAGCTCGTGGCCGCTCGCGGAGGATCATTTGGAGATGAAGTGTTGCTATCGCGCCACCAGCATGATGGAAATTCAAGAGCACAGGGTGATTATGGCTCTAGGAAGATCACTTTGATTTGGGGAGTGACATCGCAAAAGTCCGCGGCTGTAGCGGTATTGGTTCGCCTGCCAAGGACCAGAGTTGAAGGTGGTCGGAAGGTAAAGGATAGCCACATACTCATCGGAAGGCGCGCAGCGACGAATCTTGCCTGCTTTTTGGTCAAGCGAAGAGTTCGTGAGGAGAGCTGTGAGGAGGCATAGTTTGCTGCTTCTAAGATATCCAGGTCGTCAGTTGTACCTGATGCAGACCGCCGAGAACCACAAGCGGACTCCATTTCTGCGCATCGCGTGCAGTTCAAGTCCGACTTGAACAATCGTTCTAGCCAAGCTCGTGGCCACTCGCGGAGGACGCACTTGGAGATGAAGTGTTGCTATCGCGCCACCAGCATACATGATGGAAATTCAAGAGCACAGGGTGACTATGGCTCTAGGAAGATCAACATTGTCCACTTTGATTTGGGGAGTGACATCGCAAAAGTCGGCGGCTGTAGCGGTATTGGTTCGCCTGCCAAGGATCAGAGTTGAAGGTAAGGGATAGTCACACACTCTTCATCGGATGGCGCGCAGCAACGAATCCTGCCTGCACTTGGTCGAGCCAAGAGTTCGTGAGGAGGCATAGCTGCTGCTTCTAAGATATCCAGGTCGTCAGTTGTACGTGATGTGGGCCCAGACATACCGCCGAGAACCACGAGCGGACTGCACCGCGTGCAGTCAGCGCATACAAAGTCTCCCTTGATATCATACCAGTCCTCTCTCGGTTGCGAAGCATGAATTGTCCTTCGAAGACTTTTGGACAAACGCTAGACGCGGAACGGAGTTAATCATCGTCCAAGGGTAGTGTGGTTCCAAGCCATAGGTTGTAATTGTGAAATGCAAGTCTCAGATGCGTCCATGTGGGCTCACGATTCGCTGGAGCGCATATCCAGCTGCATATACATTCAAACGTTACGAGACATACTCCCACTGTCCAGGTGCCGGTTTCTCTGCTAACGGTTCCCAACTGCAAAAAGTCAATGAATGGACAGCCAAGAAATAAAACGCGACTCACGCCTTCCACTCGACCATCTCAGCGGCGAGTTTGAGCTCGTCTGCGGCAATAAGCAGCGACTCTTCGATGACGCCCTCGCCCAGGGCCGTCTCGGCAGCAGCAACGTCTGTGTTCGCAGCCTTGAGGAGGTCGAGTTTCTTTTGTACAAGGGCCTCGGTTGCTTGTCTATAGACGGACGTCTCCGGGATGTGGGTGAGATGTGTGAGGGTGTTCTGGTATATGGAGGTGAGGGCGGGGAGGGGGTCTGGATGCACTGCGAGGCCCGTGAGGCCGGTGGTGGACCTCAGCGCCTGGAACAGGGGGCGGGTGAGGCGCAACATTGTTGTAGTCGGTCGGGACGATCGGAGTTTGAATAATTACTTTGCCTCCACCACAATATGGCAGCGCTGGGCGTCCACGGCGCACTCTCGCTCTTCACAAGGCCGCTGCTGACGCGTCCCCCGTCATTGGCTCCATTGGCGACCCCATTTGCATTCGCCGCCGTCCCCGCCTTCCTCGCAGCATCCCGGACATGGGCATTCCCCACCCTGCAGTCCCTGCTCGAGCTCTTCCCGCCATTCGTCCTTGCCGTACCCAAGAAAAAGGTCTCGCACTCGCGGAAATCCATGCGGAGCGCGAACAAGGGCCTCAAGGACAAGCACAGTCCGTCACACGCTGTTTCTGTCTTTGCACTGACACTCACGGCGACACGCTCCAGATATCGTCAACTGTCCTGGCTGCGGCGCCCCCAAGCTGGCACACAACCTCTGCTCGCAGTGCTATTCGTTCCTGAGCAGAATGTGGAAACAGTCCAAACGGGAGGCCGATACGCCATGAAAAAATAAAATAAAAATAAAAATATGAGAAAACCGCGTTCGCTGGGGATTGTCGCGTCGACGAGTCGCGCTATGTACGCGTAGAATATTAATTGCTACATGCATGGCCTGTATTGCTGAGGATACCTGAAACTTAAGCTCTTCGTCGGTCGTCGGTCATCGGCCGAAACACCTGACTGAGCGGATGAACGCCTTCCCGCGCGTGGTATTAAAATACCCCGCTAAATGGCTACATGTAGCCGGTTCTCACCCAACCATGTTCCCCGCAAAACTCATGTCTCGCGCACCCTTCATGCGTTCTGCAAGCACCCATGCCCCCCGCGGTCTCGCAGCTATTCTCCAGAAGAATCCAGATGATGTGGTCATTACTTTCGCGAAGCGTACCGCCATCGGTCGCGCGAAGAAGGGCCAACTAAAGGACACCACCGTCGACGAGCTCTTGCATGCCCTGTTCAAGGTGACTGCTTCGTGTGCACGCGTGAATTTCCCGCCAACCTCCATCAGGCGACTCTGGAAAAGACAAAGCTTGACCCGTCTAAAATCGACGATATCTGCGTTGGTATGTTTAACTTGGATCTACTCTCCGCCATTTCTGAGCTCGGGTTAGGAACGTGTCACCCGCCGTCTCCTCTCTATGTCTCCAGATCGGCTGCATTGGCCGCCGGCATCCCTAACCATGTTCCCATTTCCACTGTGAATCGTCTGTGCTCCTCTGGCTTGATGGCAATCCGCAATATTGCGCATGCTATCCAGGCGGGCGAGACGTCCATTGGGATTGCGATTGGTGTTGACAGCATGACCATGCAGTTCGTCTTGACTTGGACTCTTTCAACCGCGCCTTAAACCTTCACTTAGTGCACGCCCAACCCCGGAAATCTGCGAAATAGTGGACAAGAATGCGGAAGCGCACGACTGTATTCAGGTGACGATCCTCTGCTTGAAATAAGATGCCCGCTGAATATTCACAGCCGATGGGATGGACGTCCGAGATGGTTGCAGAAACCTACAAAGTTTCGCGCGAAACCCAGGATAAATACGCGCTCATCTCCCATACGCGGGCCAGTGAAGTACGTCTTAGTGCATCGTTCATTCTTTATGACTGACCTACGTGTCAGTCGGCGGCGAAGGGAATTTTTGCAGACGAAATCATTCCCGTCGAGCTGAAGGGGGCTGTCGTTTCCGTAGACGACACTATCCGACCCGGTGTTACGATGCAGTCGCTATCTGCTCTCAAACCCGTGTTCCCAAACTGGGGCGAAGCCTCTACCACTGCGGGAAACGCAAGTGGTGTCGGTGACGGCGCGGGGATCTGCATTCTGACCACCAGAGAAAGAGCAGAACAGGAGGGCATGGAGATCCTGGGCAAATGGGTTGCCAGCTCGGTCGTCGGCAGGTCCTTCCCACTTTTGTGGCTTTCAATGATTAATGGGGGCACCAAGGTGTCGAGCCGAAGTATATGGGAATCTCGCCGATTTTCGCCATCCCGAAAGTCCTCGAGCAGGTCGGGTTAAAGAAGGAGGATATTGATGTTTACGAGGTGCCCTTCATTTCTGCCCGAGGAACGTTAGCTTGAACATCTGCAGATCAACGAGGCATTTGCGTCGCAATTTGCATACTGCGTCGAACAACTGGACATCCCAATAGAGAAGATTAACCCAAAGTACGCCCCAATTTACCACTCTATGCTTGGTTGGACTCACGTTCGTCCAGTGGCGGTTCCATTGCCATCTCTCACCCACTTGGAATGAGTACGTCTTTTTGCATCATGCTACACCTTGCACTAATAAAATGCTAGCCGGTGTTCGACAGGTTGTTACCGGTCTTGCAGAGTTGAAGAGAAAGAATGGATCCTTATTGTGCACCAGCATGTGCATTGGGAGTGGGATGGGAGCAGCAGGTATATTCGTCAACGAAGCTCGTAGTGGTAGCAAGTTGTAAATAATAGTAACGCAATGCGACGT